GTGCTGGCTCCGCCGCCCTGGGACGGGCGGCTGCGCGGCGGCTGCGCGGCGGCTGGGCCGCCTTGCAGCATCGCGTTTCGAAGCGAATAAAAGCGCGGTGAACCCTGTGGCTCACATCTTGAGCCACCATCCATTCATGCTTTGCCCAATGGGATTTTTACCCTGACGCGAAGGCAGCCCACTTCGGGCATTGAGGTCTGACTTGCATCCCGTTACATTTATCTGCCCCCAGTGGAACGTAGGCAGTAACCCTCTCTTCGGTGCCGGCGCAACACGGAAGGTGGCGAACTATGAAAATTGATGACAAACGCATGCGACTACCCATCAAGGTGGGCATGTATCTGCTATCTCTGTGGCTTCTATTCTTGTTGATTTTCGTCAACAAGATTTCCGTCGATATTTGTCTCGAATGTAATTTCGCAACCGGTCATGAGTTGCTGGAAATCCTTGGAGCAAACGTTCTCCCCGCGATTTGCGTGGCCTTGCTTGTCTGTTCTTTCTGCTGCTATTTGTGGTTTCGTCGTCTTATTAACGGCGCACAGGAAGGTCCGCTGACGATATTGACCATTGAAGACAAGAACTCTGAACACTTGGTCTTTTTGGCGACGTACGTTGTGCCACTTGTAGGCTTCGGCTTGGATAATGTTCGTCAGATGGTGAATCTTGGAATAACGCTAGCCTTGCTTGGTGCCTTGTATGTGCGCACAAATCTTTTTTATGCGAACCCAACTCTGTCATTGTTAGGGTTTCGTGTATTCAATGTGGCTTTTAAGAGTGGAGCCGCGATTCTTATTTCTGACAGCGTGCTTGAAAAAGATGAAGCGGTGAATCTGCTTAAGCTTGACAGAAACGTGTACTTCGCAACAAAGGCAATAAAGGTTCCTCGTGAAGACAATACAAGAAATCCGGACGAATCTAAACGCAATTCTTGACGTCGAGCTGAACGTCCGGCTATATCTGGGAGTGGGTCGCCCCGAAAATCGGCAATTTCTGCGTGCAGATATTGATCCCGCGGCAGCGGCAGCCATCTGCCAACAATTCGTCCAGGGCGTAAGGGGCTATTTCTCGCATGACGAACTCGAAACGCTAGAGCTCTCCAACTTGGACGCTCGGGGCGACACCTTGTATTTTTATGACATAGCTGAGAGGCCGGCGGAATTCGCTTCAATCGGAGACCTTCACAGAGGAGTGGAGCCCGAGATGTTTACCTTCGCCAATTACGGCATTGGCGACGTGAAAGCCCTTGTCCTGAAGATTTCTTCAGCGGCCAATTCGGTTACCTTTTTCAAGCAGGTGTTTCCAGTTTCTGTAGTGAAGAGAGACCAAATCCTCCTCACCTGGGGAACTGACCGTTTCAAGGTTCTAACAGAGGATGTGCTGAAGATTCTCCCGGGTTTCGATTTGATGGTCCTCGATGATGATTTTTATGTGGCCAATCTTAAGAAGTTTGAGGCGGAGTTTTCGTTTGAGGCGGTTGTAAAGAAGGCGATGACAGAGGTCGCTGAGCAGATTGTTCAGCTAAATATTGTCGACGATGCCAAAGGCTATTTGGCAAATCTCGAAATATCTAAGCGCCATGTGCTTCGCGCTAAGGGTAGCACCGTCTTCGCCATGCAATCTCAGGAGATTATTGATTTTGTGGTCGCTCACCCGAATTATGGCTTGAAAGTTGCTGACGGCAAGATTCAATTGACTTCAAGGAATAGTGTCAAATTTCTGTTCAAATTAATAAACGAAGATATTTTGAAGTCTGAGTTGACGCAGGTCATCTACGATTCTCTAGCAAAGAATGTTTTTGACGGGGCCGAGGTTGAGGCGGCAGAGTAGGTGGATGGACTAGCGGATACCAGCGCTGAGCGGCAACATGATTAGCACCACCACAATATTTTGGACGCAGATTGGCTCCATCATTGCGTTCGTCTTTGCTGTCTTTGCGCTGTATAGGTTGCTGGTGGACCAGAAGGACGCCACGATTCAAGGTCTGAAGGAAAACATTTCCTATTTGAAAGACCAACTGGCCGACAACAAGCAGCAGTCGCCCGATATGCTTGCAGAGAGGCTCGCTAAGCGCACAAAGCTACTTGAGGAAGAGCTTGCCAAATTGGGCAGCGACAAGTCTGCAACAGACGCTCAGGTCAACGCGAAGGAAGCCGAACTTGCAGAAGCTCGCGCGGAAGCAGAGGCTCTCACTCGACAAGTCCTTCACGCCCGTGAGCTGCTCAAGGACTATCAATGTCCGCACTGCGGCTCGCCGCTTGTTGAGCGGGCCTATCACTCAGAAAGTGTCGAGTATCAAGGGCGCGAGATTGATGTCGAACATGACTGGACTACGTTCGAGTGCGGCCTTGAAATCGTTGATGGCCTTGAACGCCATCCCTGTAAGGTCCATGCCGGCGGTCGCAAGGACAAGCATTTCGAGCAACGCTAGTCGAATAGCTTGAGATGCGCGATCAGCGGTCTATCGTCTCTCAAGACCCCCATGCATGCGTTGGCCTGGGCAGCCCTGAAGACCTCATATAGCTCGGCGTCGGACATCTTGGCACCTGCTGCGCTGTCTAAGAAGACCTGTGTGCTGCTTGCGATTTGCAACGTAGGGAGTCCAGCCTGCGCCCGCCGACGAGCCTTGCGGTCGTCCAGGACAACCACACCACCCATTTCTTGAGCCACTGCGATAGCTGCGCTCTCGCCAATACCCAAGCCTCCGACGCCCGAGACGGCCGCCAGCCCGACAAACACCTCATACGCAGCGTCTGACATCCGGACGCGGGTAAGCAGGGCTGCGGCCTGTAGCTGTTCAAGCTCGGCGGCGAGGTCCTTGCCGGGAATCGGGTGGTACTTCAACTCCGAGAAGACGCGCTCTTCGACGAGGCATGGCATCGCTAGTCCACGTAGCAAGCGTGGAGCTGCCGAGGTGCCCAGGAGATTGATGACGGCGCTGGTGTCGAGGACGAACATCAGTGGCGAAGCAGCTCAGAGCTGAAACTCAAGGACATCTTCTCCGTCGGACGAAAACTTGCTGAGCAGTCGTCGCGTCGTCACAAGGTCCGTATCGAGCATGTGGGCCACCTGTTCGACGGAAAGCAGGTCTCTATCGACGGCAGCGCCAGCCAAGAAGTACGTGCGCGGAGTGAAAGCTGGTGGCGGTTCGCTCTCCAGCTCTTGCATGACTGACTTGGTCTGCTGCGACGTCAACCCTTTCTCGCGGAGCGAGTCATAGAGGCCGCGGGGCACGAGACCTAGGCCCTCCATGCGCCGCGTCATTGCCTCCACCGAGACGATGAAGTACAGAGCCATGGTGATGATGTGCCGCACCGTGAACTTGCCCGACACGTCTCGCAGCTCTGAGTGCTTCCGCCTTACCGCCGATGCTGGCATCAACAACGCGCGAGCGAAGGCGTCGCAGAACCGTTCCTCGCGGTCGTAGTCCTCATCGCCAACGCGCAGGACCGTCACGCCGGGTTTGCGCAGCAGGGGATGCCCGCATTCATGCGCTGCGGTCAGCCGTCTCCGTTCGATGGGATGCTTAGAGTTCAAGACGATGAAACCACCGTGCGATGGGTCGTAGGCGACTGCGCCACTGATTTCACTGGGCAACGGCCTCTCGAAAATGCGCACACCGAGTTCGGACTCCATCATCTGCAGCAGGTTTGAGATGGGACCGATACCGAGCCCCAGCCGCTGCCGGAGTGCAATGGCGGCATCCTCGGCCTGCTGCTCTAACCCGTCATCGCGGTCCAGCCGTATCACGGGGTAGTCCTGCTTCGCAGGTTGTCTCGACACCAGCGTTTCGAGCTCCAGCGTGCCGCTTGCCAGGCGCGTGAGCAAGCGAGCCACATTGGCCTGTGCATCGGCTGCCGTCGAGGCGGGGGCTGAACGGAATTTCACCTCTAGGTCAAGCGGCTGCTGATCTGCGCCGAGGAGCTCAACCTCTGAAACTTGATAAGCCTCGGCGAACGACCTGAGATGGCGGGCCTCAATGGGGCGTTTTCCTGACTCCATCGCGGCGATGGTCGTGCGTGCGATTCCCGTGGCTTCCGCGGCAGCCTCCTGAGTCTTTTGCGCGTTGAGGCGCGCGTTGCGCAGCCTTGCGCCGAGAGTCTCGGGACGAATCTTGACGTCAAGGGTCATCTCACGCTCGCGCCATTGCGGCGGGCCAGGAGTTCGGGCCGCATCGCGTCAGAAACGTCTGCCAGTGTTCAGCGTGCCGAGACAGGAACTGGCTGAGCTCCGTTTGGACGTCGCCCACCGGGCGACCTTGGGCGCTTGCAATATTGGCAGCTTCGGTCAGCACAGTCAGCGAGTTTGGAGAGGCGGCTAGATCAGCGAGGCGCTGCATGCTTCGGATGCCGTTGGACGCCAAGTCTTCGAAGGCCTTGTAGCCGCGCGGCCTGCGCGCGTTTGGCCTCAGAGCTTCATTCATATCGGATGCAGTCAAGTTCTCGTAGAGGTAGGGCGTCGGATCATCGAGGTTGGCCGCCGCAGCGGCACTTCGGCGTAGGATGCAGTTGCCACAGACGCCGCAGTGAATGCGCTTCTTCTCGTGGCTTGAATTCCGCTGGTCGTGCGAACAGGACCAGTGGTCCAGCATCCAGCTCGCGGCGTTAGGTTGAATCTTGCTGAGTTCGCTCAGCACTTCACCTTTGGTCTTGAACAAGCCGGGGTGGTTAAAGGTTATGACCTTGCCGGTGAGATGGCCAAGCAGCTTTGCCAAACGGCTCGTGAATCCGGGGTGGCAGCTCCGGTGGGGGGCTTCGCCGCCTAGCGGCGCTAAGGAGCCGCCGATTGAGCCTTGGCCATTCTCGGGGATAACGACCTCGCTTGATCCGGCCGTGATAGCGCCGTACGCAGACAGGGTGTAGTAGATGAAGGGCCGCGTACGGAAAGTGGATTCCGAGTGATGCGGTTCATGGACCTTGAGCGGCACGCGCAGCGCCCGGACGTTGTCGCGGCGAGCCTTGGTTCGCACCTTCTTCCATCCACCGGACATCTGACGGATGTCCGCGAAGACGCATACATGCTCGACCTGCTTGTTTGCGTGCTGAAGCAGTTGGAGCTGCGCGAACGAATCTAGGCCGTGGCTGTAAGGGATGAAACGGGTGGCAGGGTTGGGCGAAAACGCCAAGTAGCCGTCATGTTGAACCCGGAACTTGCGCCGCCGAGCCTTGAAATCGAAGACCCATTCGTCGCCGGTCAGGTACGACAGCGCGTTTGAGAGCAGCTCCTTCGTTATCGGGTCTCTCCATCGCGTCGGCTCATAGACGGGGATTTCTACAGTCAAGCATCTCGACCATCCCTCGCTCATCGCCCTCGTGCACTGCCTGTCGGCGCAACGAACGGCTGACACAACCGTCATCAAATCAACGGTGAACGGCGTGGGTGCAGAAAAACAAAAGTCCTGCAACAGTCGCGTGTCGATGCCGACTTCTTCATCCACGACAAGGGGTCGGTCCCTGGAGGCCTTGCCGGGGTCCTGCCTCTCGACAAGGCGCAAAGTCCCGTACTTGCTAAACCTAGGCAGAGGCTTCATGGCTCAACCCACCTCCAACTCAAGGATGGCGTTGCCCTTGAGCTTCCTTGGCGGCTTCTGACGCCCCAACTCCACGGTGCAGCCCGCGCGATGGCTAACCAAGCACGCCCGGAGTTGTCGAGCTTGACTCGCGCCAGCGTGATTGCGCACCGTAGCGGCAATATGCTCAATGCCCCAGTCAACCATCTCGCTGAGAAGCGCTTGTCGCGCAATCTCCGCGACGTTGGGGTCACCGGGGTGCTGCAAGCACACCGCTCGCGTCACCTCAACGTAGCGTTGCTCCAGTGGCGTTTTTGCGAAACGTTCGCACTCCGATAGCGCGCTGGCCAGCGTCTCGGGGAACAACTGCCCATGGCCGCCACCGGCGGCGGACGCGACGATGGCCATGAGCTCGGGGCGGATGCGAGCGTCCATGTCCTGGACCGCAGCTCGAGAGAGGTCATAGGTCAGCCGGTCTCTGTCGGCAACGCGCTCAGCGTGGCGTACTGCGGTTCGCCAGTAGCGAGGAAGCGCAGGAGTCCGATGTAGGTCATCACGCATGCAGTCCGCCTTCTCAGGAAGTGGTCTGCGGTGAAGTGTAGCGGCATGAACAATGTCGCGCAATCTGTTTGGTTCATTGCGACAATGTTCAACGGCGGAATCGCAAAAAAGCCCGCACGATGGCGGGCTAGGGAATGCTATTGCCTCAATTCCATAGTGGCGGCAAGCCAGAGTTCGTTGCTTGCCGTGGGCAGGTCCTGCATGCCAGCGTCAGAAGCGAGCTGCATCAACTCGATGAAGCCTGCCAACATGCCCGCCGCCGTCTGACCTGCGCCGAGGCCGCGGTAAACAGCCTTGCGGCCGTCCAGGAATACGATCTGCAACTCCAGAGACCAGTTGCCGTTCAAATCTGGTGCGGCAAGGAACTGAAGGATCGGTCTTGCCGAATCTCGGACGTGTAGGTCCTCGTCGGCCATTGATGTGCTCCTCTACGTCTGCAGGCATATCCCTGCGTCTCTGTATAGGGCGGCCGCACCACAATGAAATAGGCCCGCGCGAGGCGGGCCCACAGTGAGCGGATGGCGTTGATGAAGCGGCGTCGCTACCCGAGCGTGAGGCCGGTGTGCGCTCCCGGGTCCAGATGCACGAGTTCAGGATGCTTGGCCAAAAGCGCCTTGGGATTCCAAAAGTGCAAGAAGAACTCGCGAGACAGTTCGAGGGCGGGGTCCACCGTATTGAGGTGTAGCCCCAGATCGCTGATCTTGTTACTCAAGAAGCCCAGCCTGGCATGCGCCGCCGTCGACGTTTCCCAGGCGCGCTCCGAGAACTCTTGCAGGGCTTGTTCCACCGTGAGTCCACAATCTTCAAGGGGCAGAGCCAGGATGGCCTGCCGAAGGCACTCTTGCTGCACGGCCGTTGGCTTTACCTCCGCCGCTGCTGGCGCGGCAGGGGCTGACTTCTTGGTACGAGCCCGCTTGCCGGGCACTGGTTCAGCTGTCGGTGTAGGTGCTGCCTGCACCAGGCGCAGACGTGCGCGACCGAAGTCGTTCAGAGTTGTCGACATAGCGGGAGAAATGGTTTTTGCTGTGGGCAGTCAGACACAGGAAGCGTCCCCGGTGGATTCGCAGTCGTCCCAACGGACAACCAGCATGTGGTGCGCACGGGGATAGTGGGCTGCGACGCTCGGGTTGGCATCCAACAATCGTTCCGGGTGACTGAGCACCCATCGAGCGCCCTCTCGGTCAGGGCGGTGGTGCTTTCTGATGAAGGTGACGCCCAAGCGTTCAAGCCCGGTTCGCAAAGCGCCGAGGCGCACTTGAACTCCTTCGTCTTCTGAAGACTCGTCCAGCACTTCCAGTTCGTCCAGCGCCTGACTAACACTCACCTTCGGACGGTCGAGCGATGTCCGCAGGATCGCCTCTCGGAGCCGCGCCTCTTCGGCGAGCGCATAGGCGGTCGCAGCACCGACAGCTTGACGATGGACGGGCGGGCTTTCCGGTCGCTCGCTTGCCGGGCCGCCCTCGATCACTCTGAACCGGACGGGGCCGGGTATCTCTTCTTTGTTCTGCATGGCATGAAATCCTAGCTTGCTCGCCTATGTGGCAGCGTGAACGATTCACGCATCGCGAGCGTCCGAGATATGGAAAAGAGCCCGGGTGGTTAGCCCGGGCAAAGAGAAGAGGAAATACACATGAGGACTTACGCGAAGAATCTGCCCTCACTCCTGTATAGGGCTATTTCTCTGCGGAAATATGAAAAACGTAAAACTGCAAATGCCTGGCTTATTCAAGGCTGATTCAGTGCTGCATCCATTGGCGGGCTACTGAAATAGCGCAAGGTGCATCACGCTCGTCGCCAGCATCGCTTGAACGAAAGCGTCAAGGTGGCGCGCGTTGGGAAGGGCCGTCTGGACAGCGTCCATCGCGAGTTCGAAGCCATAGTCTTGTGCTTCTCTCAAGTCTTGCAAGTCTTTTTGATACCTGTCGATGGGCAGGTGCCGCAGGCCTATTTCAGATTCTATTTCTACCAGCGCAGCTATTGAGGTGCGCCCAGTTGTGCGAAGCTCCATAGTTCCTCCTTAAATGCGTCCGATGTGGACTGCGTCTAATCCGTATAGGGAGAACTCCTGAGCACAACCGGTACTGAACATCAGCGCCCGAAGAGCCCTTTCCAAATGCGCGCAAGCAGGGCGAGCGCACATATGCTGGTGGAGATAACGAGGCCAGCGAGGGTTGCGAATGCGAAGACGCCAGCGACAGTGACCAGGTCAAACCTACCGATGAAAGCGCCCAGAAGCAAAAGCAAACCGCCCAAGCCGTAGCTGATGACCAATGCAAACAAAGTGATGGTGCGCCAGCGTTTTGGCAAATCCAGCGTGAATTCCCAAAGTGCGCCGAAGGGGCGCCAACAGGCGGCATAAATTCTGCGGCTCAGCAGTGCGTCTGCTGAGTTGACCGGCAGGTTGACCAGCTTCATTGATATTGCGCCCTTCAAAGAGTTTTGTTCGATACGCAGCATTCAGAACTGGCGAGCGCATTCGGCCGCGAATGTCAGGCCGCTGTCGCGTGCCCATTCGCAGTCACGGAGGAATACACCAGAACCAAGGGAGAATTCCCCCCTCGCCGCGGCCTGCAATTCCCTTGCGGCGTCTAGCGCATCAGGGTAAGGAAGGAGCATGCGACCCAAGAGGCGTACCTTCCCCGGTGTTGAGCGGAAAAGGTTGCCCCACCATTCGGCAGGAATGTCGATTCCTTCCTCTGTGCACTGTGTGTGGTCATGCCGAAACAGTGCAACGCCCGACGTCGAAGTCCGCCACGGCACGGGAACCGTGGGCTTGAAAGGACCCGGTAGCGGGCTGACCGGCGGCTCGGCATCAGCCGGCAGCCAGCCTTCGAATCGCAGGCCGTCGCACGGCTGGTCTGAGCTGGCCTCTAGGCAGGGCAACCAAAGGCACGGCGCAACTGGTTCGTCTAGTTCAATGTCCGGCGCTGCATGTATCAAGATCGGACAGCCGAACAGCACGTCAGGGAAGCCTGAAACGACGTCGCGTAGCAAGGTTGTCAGCTGCGGCCGTACCTGTTCCGGACAAGCTTTTGCGAGTGCTGTTACCTGACCGGGGCGCGCGGTCTTGAGCCAGGCCTGCATCAAGTCGACGCTTTGGACGATCCGGCCATGTCTGAGCGTGAACACCAGCCTATCAAGCAGGGCTTCGAGCGAGTCAGACATCTTGCTCAGTCAAAGCCGTATCCAGGGGCCGCTCCGAAAGAGCCTGGGTCGAACACTGGTACAGCGCCGTAGTCGAAGGTGTCCGAGCTGGCGTGATGCAAGCTGTAGTCCATTGCATCGTCGACGTCGGTCGTACCGTACATGTTGCCGTGGACGTCGACCAGGTCGTTCATCATCAGCTGGCCATTGGCGGGGTTGATCGCCGGGGGGGTCGAGGCATCGAAGTTGACGTGGTTTACGTCAGCGGCGTCAGCCATCGCGTACCCGACACCAGCGGCGCCGCTGGCAGCCACCGCTGCGCCCGTCGCCTTGCGGCCACCGGTGTAGCGACCAGACGAACGGCCACTACGCTTGGCTTCCTCCGCCGCAGCCGCTGCGTGAGCAGCCGCTTGCGCTTCCTTGTGAGCGGCTTCAGCCTTCAGCCACGCCTTCGCGTAGACCACGGCCAGCTCCGATACCAGGCCCCAGGTGATGTCCTTGGGAGCCAGGCCCATCTTTTCGGCCAGGTAGTTCACGGCAGCGTAGCGGCCTTGGTCCAGCTCGGCCGCAGCCGTCAGATGGTCCAGCACCGTGCGACGCACGTTGTTGTGGATCGCGGCCATCAGCGGCAGCGCTACAGCGCAGCTGGCGAGGCCCCACTTCATGCCCAGGTAGCCGAAAGCGGCCGCGACACCTGCCAGCGGCAGGAAGACCGCCGTTCGCATCAGACCCTCGTACGGCACAGCACTGATGGGGTCCAGCGGCACAGCCACCGTCGCCCAGTATTCCTTGTTCTGCTTGCGACCGCCCACCAGGTCCGCGCAAAGCTCCATCACATCGAGGTCGGTGGTGAACTTGGCTGGGCTCTTGGTGGTGGTGTTTGACGGCGCGCTGCGCATGTTTGCGATCTCTCTGGGAGCGATGTAGTGACTGTTAACGAGAGGCCCAAAGCAAAAACGCCCTCGGCCTGGCAGGCGAGGGCGTTGAACGCAGCCATCTAATGCTGGCTGGCGGCCCCGCTGCCATGGACGTGATTACGTCGTTAGGTCGGAAGCTTTGCGTCACGCACTTTCGCGCGTTTTGCCCGTGTACTTGCTGCGCGGATTCTACGAATTTCGTAGAGACGATGCAAGTCGATACTACGAATATCGAAGCTTGCCGCCTCGATCTAAGCCCCCAACAACAGTATTCGGTCAGCGCCTCCGTCAGGCCCGACTGCATGCAGGCCTTCCGCAGGATCGCCTCGGGGTCGCTATCGGGTTGGATGAGACAACTGCGAGCGTGCGCGTTTCTAGGTACGAAACAGGCGTGCACTCGACGCCCTTTCCTGTCGCGCAGCAGCTCGCAGCTGTTCTTGGCGTTCCGACGGCCTATCTGTACTGCGACGACGACGACTTGGCGAGCGTGATCCTGGGCTGGAGTCGCCTTTCAGCCAAGGAGCGAAAGAGGGTGTTGGCAGCGTTGGTGTCGACCACCGCCGCATAGCTGATGCGACCCTTTGGCCGCCAAGGCAAGCACCGCGGCGCCTAGGCGGTGACCGCGGTGCTGGACCATCAAGGCTGCGAACGGCTCGGCGTCACAGGCACATGGAACTTCAGGCCCTCGTACGTGATGCGCTGAAGGATGGCCATCTTCTGGTCCACGGGCAGTTGCCCCTGGTACTTCACGACGACATCGGACCGTTTCTGCTCGACTTGGCCGTCCGTCACGGTCTGAATCTGGGTGACATTGCTGGTGTGCCCAGTGATGGCTTCCGCCCCGGCAATCCTGAGCGCCATTGCGCGATTCAAAAGGGTGAAACGGAACGCATGCATGCCGACGATACGCGCGTTTGGCGTTTCGTCGCGGAGGCCGATGTCTCGTAGGAATTCACCGAACCACTCGAGGGCCTTGGGAGACGCCTTGCCAGCGCTAGGCGGGAAGCCAGGGAACAGCAGTGTGTGGCCCTGTTGCTTGATGCGCTCGACGTAGTCCAGGAATCCAATTTCGATGAGCTGGGGATGAATCGGCACGGCTCGCTTGGAGCTCTTGTTCTTGACAGACTTGTCCACCTTCTCGTGGCTCTCGGACCTATCGGTGATGTTGAAGTACCAGATGCCGTCCGCGCTCTGCAAGATGTCCGCTTGCGGATTCAGCTGGCACAACTCATTTACGCGGGCTCCGGTGAACAGCCCGACGTGTGGCAGCCAGAACATGTGCGCCTGCTCAGGGGTCCGGGCGAACCCAGCCATCTCAGGCCCCTGGAACAGGCGCTGCAGCTCGTGGAGCTTGAACGCGCGCTGGCCATTTTCGGGGTCCTTGCGATTTCCGGTGTACTGGACGCCCTCGGCGGTCAGTCCCATGGGCCAACCCCGGTCTTGCCATTTGCGCCGGCAGTATTTGATGAACGGAACCATCACTGCCAGGTACGTCCCGGTGAAGGTCGCCTTGGCCATCTCGCCGACGCCCATTTCCACCAGCTTGCGAGGGGTCAGTTTCTGCCGGCGGCAGATAGCGCTCCAATGCGGCGGCAGGTTCTGAATGGAGTCGAAGAAGGTTTCCAGGTCGTCTTGCCTGAGCGCCCCAATGGGCTTGTCGCCGACGATGTCTAGCAGCAAAGGCATCGCCGTGCGAATTTTCTTGAGCATCGCGGGCTGGTCGAGCTTGGCATAGTGCGTGAGGTAGGCGGTGGTGACCTCGGACAGTTGCGGCGTTGCGAGGCTTCGCGCCACGACAGGAGTCGGTTCATCGTTGCCGGCGTACCGGCTCAGCAGCTTCTCGTTCGTGCGCAAAACCGTTCGGCCATAGGCGAGCGCCAGCCGCCGCATGTCGCCTTCCGGCACGTTCAACTCGTAGCGGTAGAGGCGCAAGAACTCCTCGAGCGGCGGGCGCAGAACATCCTGCTTACCCAAGACCAACGCGGCCTTCAACAACCTGTTGGCTTCGGCGTAGCCGGCCTGGTAGTCCTCGATTTCCTCGATGGTGTAGTTCTCATCCAGCACGCGGGCCTCATCGCCCGCGAGGCTGACGGCTTCGACGTGCTTGCAGATGGCGTCAATGGTCTCCGACGTCATGGCGTCTATGCGGACGATGGCGACGACGTGTTGGCGGGCAGCTTGGTCCGCCAGGCGCTGGCGTTGCTTTCCCCAGTTCGATGTCAGCTTGGCTTCTTCAAGTCGGTGACGTTCCACAGCGACGTGGTAGTCCTTGGTCCTGAGCGAGAAGCTGACCATCTCCTTGCCGGGGTAGCAAGAGAGCAGGTCGGTGGGGATTCGGCGATGGAGGTAGTAAGTGCCGAAATCGGGATGGCGGCGAAGGCCAGTGGGGAGCATGGGCATGGTCTCGAGAGTTCCTGATGCCAAGGTATAGGCGGCCAGGAAGACCATGTTTTGCTCTCGCGCTGTTGTGTAGAAGCGTTGTGTGAAGTCCAGGGTGAAGAACACCCTGGATTCACTGAATCTTCTTGCAAATCAACAACTTGCAAAAAATTTGGTGGAGAGGAGGAGGATCGAACTCCCGACCTCCGCATTGCGAACGCGGCGCTCTCCCAGCTGAGCTACCCCCC